ATTTAGGCAATTCATCGTCTTTCTAAATTTTAACGCGTCTTAGGGCCGTAGTGCGGTAGTGACACTTTTCCGGACATGGGTCCCTATAATCAAATGTTTTCTACTGTTGCACTGAATAACCCCTAGAAGTTTGATCCCATAGTTCTGAAACACCCTGTATAATACGGCGACGACATATGTATAATGAGCGCCTGATAATACCCGAGATTGTTTCGAGGATATGTGCGATGTACAGCGACGCACAACCGTCGGCATATAGAATAGGCCATACACGTCATACATGGAAATACCCAAATGTAATTCCGCACGCATACGTCCGGGATTTAATGGACTCCCGTTCTGTGTAGCACCCGTGTCACATCCTCCGCAACTGGATGAAAGACCGTTACGATCCTCCGTCATTGTGTGTGACGAAGAAGCGCGGCGTCGAATTTTGCACTTGGCTTTTGAAACGTCGTCGGAACAATTCCGATGAGCGCGAATTGCGTCTGTTGCCGGCTCATATGTGACACAATAGCCGATTTTGCTCGACACCGCATGCCACGGCACATTTAATAATAATAACAAGCTGAATATAATCGGATCTCCGCGTATTGAGGTCCGATCGCACATCGAGGATCGAGTTTTGTCCGCCGCGCGCAACATATACGCGCGCGTGCTTTCGGAATCTGAAAATGTAACGCGAATCGACGCAACGGATATTTAGACACTTTTGTGTGAAAAAATATTGTGTGTGTGTGTTATTTTCTATATATATTTATATATAATATTATATATAATATTTGGTACTCTTTCTCTGTAGAGAAAATAATACAATATCTAAATCAAGATATTGCGATCAAGTTACATAATAAATATCGCGCGCATGAAATATATCTCACGTGGCCGAGATACGGAATACTTTTTTTTTGTTTCGTAAAAAATATAATCAATTTTGCTTTTGTTTGCGTTCCGTAATTCATGATGTTATCTTCCGTCCCAGATTGGTGTCCCGAGATTTGGGATGCGATACTATGTTGGAATTCGACGCCACCCAGGCAATTGGCCGTTCAACATTGCCCGTCGTACATCGTGGGTTTCGACGCTCATGTACGTAACCGAAGCTAATTTAATTAGATCGTAAACAATGAAACAAAATAAAGTATTGAAATTGCTATTACTGTGTGATAAAGAAAATCTGCTTCTATTTTCATCATATTGTTTAATGTACACACAAAGAGAGGAAGATAGTTTATCTCTATTATATCTTCTTTCTTTTATTTATGATATAATATTATATTATACTTCTCTGTGTGCGCTCTTTTATATATTAAAATAAATTTATTTTCTCTTTTCGCGATTGTATTAAATATGTGTCTCTTGCGTAATGAATCGACTAAATTTTTCAAGCTTTTACGTCTGTAACGACGTGGATTCTTCATCAGAACAGATAGGTAGAACAAATAACGATATGGAATAAGAATAATTGATATTGACATTCATCTAAAACTGTCTGAGAAACTCAAATAGATTAGTTCCACGATCTAATAACGCCGTCTGACGTAAGGCTTTTGCGCGCGAATCGAATGATAAAATTTATCATCCAGATCCATTTGATTAAGAATTTTATTTTATTTTATTTATCGCTATTCGAACCACGCACAAAAAGTTGCTGACGCAACTTATACGCGCATTCGCGCTTCTGTTTTTACACACGTACGCGCGCGCGTTTGATTTTTCAACACACAACTTCGGAATCCGTTTTCTCTTTAATCAAAACTTACTTTATCATTATGGTGTTATCCGATCTTGCAACTTTTGCAAAACGCTCGTACTTACAAAATATCTCCTCACAGCTAGTCGCGAGAATCATAAATTGAATTCCTCCACCAAAGAAAACTCAATTCGAAATTAAATTGAAAATAAGTTACGTGAGATTTATACGTTCGCAAAAAGCGAGAGCAGCAGGTAGCCAGCGGTGCAATAATTCTTTGTTGCGAAACAATCACCGCGAAACAAAACAATCGATTTGTAAGTTCGAATAAAAAAGCGAAGAACATCTTTTCAGGCATTTGCATCGAAACAGTGCATGTCGGACGGCCAGTGGTTTTTCAATGTCGAAACTCAGAGCACCTGGAGCAATTACACCCAGTGCTACGGCGGACAAATGGTTACCATTCTGATGAACGTAACAAACGAGCAGGCGAACAACGTTACCCTCATTAAGGTAATAAAAAAAAAAAAATTATCTCATATAAGAGGGTAAGTAAGTATACAGCGCGGTAAGGGGGTGGCGTCAATAAATAATTACATTGCCCATTTAATTTGATTCGACGATCGGGGGAAGGAATCCGACGATTTCTCGTGTCTCGAATGGAGACGGGAAAGTGACGACGTCGGAGATGAGAAAATCGATCGGAATCACACGATGATGTGACGTCTGTTGTTTTACTCGCGGGAAATGAGAAGCCATAAACGACGTTCTGGGAGAGGCACCCTCGCGCGCGCACCCAAGACGTCGTTGCGGAGTTTAGTTTCCCAGAGCCGGACGATAATGAACCGAGCGAGCGCGGGCAAATGAGCCAATAGCTACGTCGTAATAGCATTATCGAAGAGAACGAGAACGGAGAAAATAACTGAAAAAGAATTTTTCTCTCGAGAAAATTCTCTTCCCGCTTCATATATATTTTACGGCTGATTTTACGTAATATTTTTTTTTTTTTTTTTACACGTGTTATTAATCGCGTGTTCTTTGTTTTCTTTCGCTTTCGCAGACATTTCTCCCGATCGTGAAGACCATTTCGAAACTCGGCTACGCGATCTCGCTCTTCACCCTCATCATCGCGTTTTGCATTCTGGCCACTATCAAGTAAGTATAAGCATAATCTTGACGCGAGACGTAAAGGCGACGATTGTAAAATTGTGATGGTTCAACACGTTTAAAACGTTACAAAAATATTTTTCGCGGATATTTTTATATCCATTTTTGTTCTTCAATACTTTTTCATTCTTTTTAATACTTTTAACACATTTGTCATGTGTTAAAAACACAACTAGTTGTGTTTACATCAAATGTACGAGTACAAAAAAAAAAAAGAGAAACAGATTTCCCCGCAGTTTTACGGACAAATCTCGTCGAGAGATTTCAAAATTTTTTTGACTGCGACATGATTGATTCAATGTCGAGCTTGTAATAACTCACGGCGGCGTCAGAAAATATATAAACACTCGCACTCTTCTCTAATCAAATGGAATTCGCGTTGCCACGTTCAAGTTTGTCTCCCATCGGACGTAGGAAGTTGCGGTGTCCGCGGAATGTGTTACACATGCACCTGTTCGCGTCGTTCGTGATGCGCGCCTTCGCAGCGCTGCTGAAGGACGTGCTCTTCGTCTCCGGTATCGGGCCGGGGGATACTGTGATCAAAGACAACGACGAGGGTTATTGGCTGGTCAACGAGGAAGAGAGCAATTGGCACTGCAAAATGTTCATCAGTCTGTGGCAGTATTTCATTCTGGCGAACTACTCCTGGATCCTGATGGAAGGAATTTATCTGCACAATCTTGTCTTTTTTGCGCTCTTCACCGACGCCAATCCCAGCATTATCGGTTACATTATTTTCGGATGGGGTAAGTGCGATTGAGAAATCGAAAAAAGTCTCTAAGAAATATTGAGAATTTGTTCTGAAATATTATAGAAATATTATAAATAAAATATATAAAGAATTTGTTGTGTAAAACGTAATTATTGATTGTAATTATATTATTATTATCGTAATTACTTTTACTATACTGCGGGTGTAATATATACATATCTCATGAGAATTCATCTTGTTAGAGAGATAAAAGCTTGTAAAGAATTTCCTTCCGATGTTTCACGCATGTATGTAAATAATATAATTTTCTTCTAGTGAAAAAAAAACCGGATTGAAGTTTATTTGTTAAATATGCGTTATATATAAAGATCCTTCGCTTATAACGAATCAATCGGTCTCAAAAGGGAATTGTGAGACGAGCGATAAAATAAGTTTATAACTCAACATGGAGAAAAATCAGCTTTTGTTTAATACTCTTGAATTCAGTTTTTATTATAGAAAAAAATTATATCGTCGTGCACGATGCGATTGGAAAAAGAAATTCTTTGTACGAATTTTCTATATACGATAAGCTTCTACCTACTAACAAGATAAATTCTCACAAAGTACTGCTCGCAGTTGGACAAATTGAAAGTAGCAATCAACCTAAAGTGGTCAGAATCAGCAAATAGGAAGGGGACCGCGGTTTCTTCGTGGCGACTGGATCATGTGCTTCTTTTATGACCTACAAAAAATTATTGAAGCTTGATTAAGATCGTCCTATCTTACATCACTTGACGTAACACACATACATTTGTTTTTACAAGATTTTTATAGCGGCAAAAACATTTGTACAACTACTGTGTTACACTTTGTTCCCCGTTCAGACGAGAGAGAGAGAGAGAGAGAGAGAGAGAGAAAAAACCAAGAGAAATTTCAGTAAGATGAATTTTTCTCCTCTGCTCGTTACTATAATGTACTTTATCATTCACTTGCAATTAGAGGGTAAAATGAGAGATAAACGTATATTTTTTTGCGTGAGTCACTCGAAGAAACCTCAACAATGAATAAGCGATGTCCTAGCTAGCACGTTTTTTTTTTTTTTCCCGTATTAGGTCTTCCGGCTGTGTTTGTTCTGCCGTGGGTAATTACGAGGATTGTATTTGACGACACATATTGCTGGACAACAAACAACCAGCCTCTTTTGTTCCTCCTCCTTATACGGATACCTACAATACTCTCTATTTTGGTAAGAGAATGCCACGCCATGAATACTGAAAAAATTCGTCGAGTTATTCGACAACAAATTAATTTTTATCGTTTCTTCTATCGTGTCAGATAAATTTCGTGCTTTTCATCAACATTGTAAGGGTTCTGTTGATAAAACTCAAATCAACCATGTCGGAGGAAACGAAAAGATACAAGTAAGTCTCGTGCGCGACAGGATATATTTTTCAACACACGTATTTTCACGTATTTTTATATTTTTTTAAATTTATTTCTATATTTTTTAATTTTTGATACATATAAAAAAAAACATTTAAAAAATATATCTTTTTGTACAATGATCACATCTATGTGTTGTATAATGTGTAATCTTGATTTTTAGACGATGGGCTAGAAGCACGTTGGTCCTGGTGCCGCTCTTCGGAGTTCATTACGCGTTCTTCATTGGGATGTCATACAGCATCGGCGTGAACGAAACTGTGGAGGTCGTATGGCTCTTCTGCGATCAGTTGTTCGCGTCTTTCCAGGTAACACGATTTATTGCGCGGTAATCTACTTTACAAAACGTCAAACTGTTTTCAAGTTGTTACGTGAACGTTCAAAGCGAAAGATCTCAGACAACTGTTTTATCATTTAATTATGTCTCATCGATCAGCTCGAAATTCGACAGTTTGCAAAAATCAATTAATCCGCATAACTCTGAAGTCCTAAAATTCAGTTATATGTGTACACATTTAACTTATAATTTGAAGATTGAATCATTAATTACTGACGCAGTAAAAACATTTTTGACATCTCTTCTGTAAACGCTCCAGCGTGATGTTCTGGTAAACATTGAAGTTTGAATATTTTTTGATATAAAAACAAATTGTCTGTACAACATGCAATAATGTTTGGTTAAAATGTTTTTATAATTTGCGTGTACATTTTTTGCAAAAATCGGAAATAAAATAAAATACAGATAACAATTAAAATATAAACTTATAAATATTGAAACAATAGAAAAGTATATTTGTTTTATTTGTACACTTTATATAAAAAAAAAAAAATAAGCTCTGATGTGTTTTATAAACATTTGAAGACAAAAGAAAAGAGATCTGAGCTTTTTGAGAAATTGAAGCCGGAAACACAACTGTGTTATCTCTTTGTTTCCGGAAGGGCTTTTTCGTGGCGGTGCTGTATTGTTTCTTGAACGGCGAGGTGAGGGCTGAAGTGTCGCGAACGCTTCGCAGTGGTAAGTGGAAGTGGGTTCGCGGGATGCGATGGGACTCGTCGAGACCGTCGACCCATTCGATCAGCATGTGCAGCTGCAACAACGTGTCGAAGCCCGTCGATAACCGACGACCCTCGAGAAAGTCCAGATGGTGGAAGTCGCGCTGGAAGGCGCCCTCGTACTTTTTCCAGGATCGCGCCAATCACCGTCGGTCCACTCACTCGATGGCGAGTACACAAGGTGTCCTTTTAAGTCCTACGAAACATCGTGTTTCTTCCTGTGTGTGCTTTACGTCCTCTCGTCACCGTGCGCTTAATGTTTAATGTGGTTCCAACCTTTTCTCAATAGGTAATTGAACGAAGGATACTCTAAAACCCATCCATTTTTATTCAATTTTCCGGAATCTTTTCTCTTTCTCTCTCGTACATACGGAATATTTTCCAAAAGAATCTTTAAAATTGTTCGTATCTATGTCAGCAAGAGAAACCCGAGAACATGCCAGCTGGGTTTATTTTAACAATTTGCTATGCTTGAGATAAAGTACATCTCCAATATAAATGTCGAAGTTAATACACGCGAAGTATATCTTATTCTTATTCTTATATTTTTTTTTTTTGCTTTAAAAGTGTCGAGAGACAAAACTGTTTTAGTAGTTTCGTTGAACAATAATACGGGTGAAAATTGGAATTTTCGTCGGAGAGACGGAGTTCTCTCTGCGAGCGTTGATTTGCGAACTATACAAATCGGTCGACTACAGAGAGCAAAGAAAAGCTTTACTCGATTTCTCTCGCGCTAACGCAAATCTCTCCGTGATTCGAATCGCAGCGTGTACACATGACGCGCGAATCACGTAATGAAATTTCGCAGATGTTGGAACGAGAGGAGGTAGTTTAGCGAGCAGCAGAGGCTATCTAGAAATCACCGGTAACGGACAGATGCACCCGACGACGACGCAAAATCAACATCCTCATCACACATCGCCGTTGTGCAGCAAATACACGGGTCAATCGCTGCTTTCTTTTTGCTCGAACGTGAGTAGCTTCATTATTCGAATATCCGCGCCGTGGGATTAGAAAATCCTGCCTGTATCTCGTAATTCCGATAATCCAATCGTCGATATAAATTTTCTTCTTTTTCTTTCTCCTCGCCGTACGCCCGTTGATTTCGCACACGCGAACGAAAGACAAAAAAAAAGTAAACGAAACTCTAAGAAATAATTTTATTGGAAACACATAACTCTTTCTTTTTTGTTATGAGAAATCTTACTCCCGTAATTGGATGTCAAATCAAATTTCGCGCTAAAAAATTTTGCTAAACTAATATTAAACCGAGTATAAATTTTAGCACAATGTATTTACATAATTTTTCACATATATATAATTATTTAATATAATATTATTTAATATATATGTATGGATTATTATATATATAATCCATATATATATTTATATACGTATTTATCTATACATGTACACTTTTATGACACACACTAATATATTACATATAAATTTACAAATAATTTTAATATATAAAATTATCTAATATAATTTAAATATAGAAACGCAAAAAAACGCATTTTTACGCGTTTTCGAAAAGTTATGCGTAAAAAGCGATTTTCTTTTTCTCAGATGTCAGACGCATCGGGATCAAACGTCGACAGAATCCGCGAGCAGCATCGTTGGAGTGATTCCGAATGTTGTCATCTCGCATTGGAATTGCACAATTTACAAGAGCAGCCATGATAACGTTCAGATTCTCCACGCATGATGTAAACAAAGTATGTCTTTTCCCATGGTAAATGCGCGTTCGAACGATAGCGTGTGTGCTATTATCTCTGTGAAGAAGAAAAATAGAATGTGAAAACCAGAACAATTTGATTTTAAAACATATAGGTTTAACTACCCAGCAAACATTTCGGTCACAGAACCATATCCATCTGTGTCCTCAGTAGGATATGGTTTGTTAATCATGTCTGTCAACATGTGAAATGTCAAAATGCGACCAAAATAATGACAGAGTCTGCCACAAGCAAAGCGAGGCCAAATTATC